TTAATAGGTAATGAGGCATATTGTGCTATTGTTCTAAATACATACGAGAGATACTCAAAAAGGCAAAAAGAAAGAAACAACTTTTGAGGTAATAACAAGCCTATATTTTAATCAGGAAAGTGTTATCATCATGCCAAATTTAAGCCTAATCCCGATGTGCCCAATGAATTGTTATTCAATTCAATTCAATTCAATTCAATTCAATTCAATTATTTAAGATGGGGACGCCACTATGTGCGTATTTTAACCCGAATATGAGTGAAGGATGAGTGTAGGATGAGTGGCGCGATCTTGTAGTCTTGTTAGTGACTAAGGCCGACATGTTCCTTAGACACAGCTGTTAATTAATAGCCCATACAGCTAATGGCAACTAAGGAACCTACAGTTTATAGTGGAATCCGAACCACATTTTTCCTTGTAATTTACGAATTGGTCTAATTATCAGGATAATACTGCGGATAGTCGTAGTACTCACTAGTGCGGACGTTAATCCACACCAGGGAGCATCGCATCCAAAGTGCATCCCTATAAATATCCACAATTCGTGACCTCCCAGTAGCTGGATTACAGGACGACGCCACCCGTCCCAGTCGGTTTATATATTAAAGTTCTAATATATAAAATTCTCGTGTCACAGTGTTTGTCTGCAAACTCCTCCGGAACGACTTCACCGATCGTTATAAAATTTGGTGTGTAAATTCTGTAGGTATGCGAATCGGACGTAAACTATTTCCCGTTTCGAAATTCTTAAAAGGGCTCCGCCCCAGTGGCTCTGGAGTTTCCCATGTTAACCTTATGAGAAATGGAATTAATGAATCTTAATTCACACCACCCAGTATTGAGTGATTGAACCCCAAACAAACACACAAACATTCATTTGTAATATTAGTAAAGTAGCACTGTACTTCAACGTATGAATCAGGCCGTAATCGGCTTTCTTGAAATAAACGCTTAGGCCAGTTACATTTTTAACATCCAAATGTAATATTATTTCACCAAACAGCGTTGGTCAGTTATTAAACGGAGGCATATGGTACCAAAAGTCATCTTGCGAAAAAAACCTTTTTTTTTTAACAAAAATCAGGTTAACAAAAAAAGACTTTGGCTTTGACTTTTTTCAGGTTATAATCCTAAGTCAAATTTGTATCTAATCGTATAATGAAACTGCTTGATGCATAATTAAGGTTCAAATGAATCAGTAATATTATTTTAACCTATGTAGATACGATATACTGCACATTGTAAAAATTGTTTAGTCGTGGATACATTTACACATAAACATCATCATTATTTAAATATTTAATTGGCCAACACAAATGTTGTGATTATTGTTTTGAAACTGCTACACATCCGATCATCAAATTTAAGGTGTCGTTGGATAGGTCGTGACATGTAAATTTGCCATAAAACAAAACACATTTGAAATTCCATCAGGGCTCTGCCCCAGTGGCCTTCAGCCAATTGAAAGCGTCAATATACGTGATTCAATTTACTTCATATCACGGACGATTACTTAATATCAACCATTAGAAATGACAAAATAAATGTAAAAATAAATATCAGCACTGTACTGTACACACTTGTACAGTACAGGTATCAGCATTCTGAAACATACTTTCTCCCATAAGCTTGGTAACATCCTATATCATGGGAAAGCGGTGATAGTATATAGTTCAAAATCAGCTGAAATAACTTTTACGCCACACTACATTATTTTGAAGAACTTCCCACGCAAGGATTTAGTCCAGAAAACAGCTGTTTGCCGCCAGCTTATTCAAATGGGGTTTCATTGCGTACTACTGTGCTGTAATGAGTTTTGCCGGACACCAATCAGCTGTATTTAGGTGGCAGTGAGTGGTTATAAACAAAAACATAACCTCTCGACTAGTGATTTTTAGTCCTTTAGTTGGTGGAAATATATAAGGATTTGTACGGATTTAGTAGTATGGCGTAAACTATCGTACGTAACTCGTCCAAAATGTGTGTACCGGACTCGTATGGTAATCCCGTACTCGACTTCGTCTCGCACGGGAACGACCACACTCGTCCGGTAAACACTTATTTTCAGGACTAGTAACGTAATATACTATTTCACCACACTATGATGTTTTTGGCTGTATTACATACGTTAATTGGTGGCTGAAAGTTACGTTTTGCTGGCCATGCCAGCTGTCATCGTAATTTGGGGACCGAGCAGGTTTTTACAGGCCGGGGCCGCAAAATCAGCTGTCCGCTTACTTACTTAAAATATGAATGCATTTTAAATACACAATGAAAATCCATAGCATTTCAATAGAATTGTGTTATTGTCACCGTAGCCTAGCAACTATTTATTTTTATTTTTGCTGATTCTTCAAATTATTTCTTCACATAACCTTAAAGTTGTAGTTGTGTTGACTATCAGTGTGCATTATTATAGTGGTGAATAGTGGTAATAGGGTATAGTGTGGTGAAAAATAGCGTTCGTACCACGGACCGAAATGGTTTTGAAGCTCTCGATTGATTTAAGTTCTCGACTTCGTCTCGAACTTAAAAACTATCTCGAGCCTGCAAAACCTCATTTTCGGCCCTAGGTACGAAATATACTATTACTTTTGGACCATAATTGTTACAGCAATGGGGTGTTGTACTATTTTCTTAAAACATCATTTTTTATGTTTATAATCCATACCGAGTCTCTTCTAGTATTCGTGGTCTAATTACAGAATACCAATAATTTCACCCGAATTACCTTTTGAATTCAAGTGAATACAATTTTCTTTGCGTCTTGCTTTCGCAATCACCATTATAAAATGGCACAAGACTATCCCTGACTATCGCCGGTTTAAATGTATAAAATGCATGCTTTTCACACGTATGTTGCGTGCGCACGTGGTGGTAGGTGCGCATAAAAACTTATATATACAGTATATATATATATATATACGCCTAATGAAAAAAATTGTTTATTCACTGGCAATTAAGTAAAATGACTATTCTATTTTTGGTATACGTTTTTATCATCTCATATTAATACTCATTATCTCTATGTCATAGTGAACGAATATAGAGGTAAAATCTTAGTCTGAGCTGTCAATTCCGTTTGACCTCTTCAAGAATTCCCTCATATTTAACACATTTCCTTCTCATGCAACAAATTTGCGAGGACTGTGTTTTGTGAACACTACTCCTCCCTGCTCCCTTATTTGTGGAAAAATTTCAACGTTTAAGGTGTTGGTGTTAAAGGATTCGGACCAATTCGTAGTTTTGCATTAAGGTTTTAGAATTTAAAAGTTCCTACCCTTAAGGGCGTGAGACCCTTTCAAATGTCGGGTTTTCACCATGTTAATAATTGTATTACCTATCAATCTTTCTTCCGAAAATAAACTAAAATGTCCAGAAATGCTATTTAAGAGTTAGGTACATTAACTTTCTCTAAATTAACTGAATCAAAGTACAATATATTTAATGCTACAGAATATAAATCCAACCGATTTATTTATTGATAAAATTCAACCGCGAGGTGGTGGGTTGTCGAGGTGGCACGTTGTCGCCTATGAGCGAGGTGGCGCGTTGACGGCACCGAACACTGAGCGTACACGTCAACCCACCACCTCGTAAAACAGTGGTGGCGGATTGACGGGGTGGCACGTTGTCGCCTACGTATGAGGTGGTGGGTTGCCGACATCGAACATGGAGCTTCACGACAACCCGCCACCTCTGATAAAAACTGGTGTTGGCGGGTTGTCGTGGTGGCATGTTGTCGTGGTGGCTCATTGACTTGAGTGTGTACGACAACCCGCCACCTCGGAAAATTGTGTGGTGGTGGGTTGTCGTGGTGGCCTGTTGTCGAGGTGGCGGGTTGACCTGTACGTACACGTCAACCCACCACCTCGGTTTTTTTCTGGTGGCGGGTTGACGCCTCTGACCAAAACACCGAGGTGGCGGTTTGACGTGGTGGCGCATTGACAGCGACCGCTCACGGTCATGCTGTCAACAGTTTGTTTTGCCATTGATTAACATTTGAGGAGAATATTTAATCTTCGGAGATAATACAGATTAAAGAGAGTAGATTTTTATTTCCTTTGTGTTGACGGTTTAGTTTCATGAAGACCTGTAAAATGATATGAATGTTGACTAAGTTTATACATCTCGTGTAAAAACTTTGAGGTACCCCCACTACCCCTAAGGCCCCGTTTATGCACCAAGTGCGGGAGCGGTGCGATAGCGGGCCCGCTCCCGCTGTAAATGAGTCTGTTTATGCACGAAGAGCGATAGCGGTAGCGGTTGGTTAAAGGAGAATGGAAGGGGGACACAGTCTTGCCAACTCAAACTCTGCCAAATAATTAACACAACTATTTGTCCTAAGTGCACGTGCGCGTGGGTCAAGTTGGCAACCCTGGCTTCAGCCCAAGCAACCGCTGCGATTCCTAACTACACAGCGGGCGAATTAGAAATCGCAGCGGGAGGTCAACCGCTATCGCTATCGCTCTTGGTGCATAAACAGCCCCATTTAACTCAATGGTGTTAGAAATCGCTCCCGCTGTCGCTACCGCTACCGCACTTGGTGCATAAACGGGGCCTAAGGCTAAGGGTAAAAGTTTGTAAACCAACCAACATTATTGTAGCTCACCATATCTAGCTCTAATGGTTAACAGGTCATCTATTTTAAGCCATGTTGTTTTACAAGCATAACTGGTAACTTATTAAATACATAAAAATGAAATGTCCATTGGAATAAAATTAAAAAATTAGATGTCCATAGAATAAACTAGTAAGTACTAATAAGTAGGCAGGATCGGTTCGATGATTTTAATGCGACTGCGATCACGCAAAATCGACATTTTCTATATTCTGAAAACGACGGCTATTCGATCGACCTTCAACCATTCCTATACGTTGTGAAGTCTTGTCTTGTTTTGTACATACTGTGGAAGTATACGAGTATGGCTCGGCTCATCGGCTGTGGGCTGTCGTCGTCGTCGGCTGCTACGGTACCGGCACTCTGTGTCTGTGTCTGTCGTCTGTCTGTCTCTGACTCTTTCTTTCCGGCTGGCCCCGGCAATTTTGTGGGATTTATATTTCTGGCGTATTATTTTTAAAGTTTGAGAAGTGTAAACTAAGTTATTTTGCAAAGAACTGGAAAAATTCAAACTAAAATGTCTGACATCAAGAAAAATGAAATCGAAAAAGCTCTCAAAAGTCATATAGACACAATCGACAAACTATACCTACGAAAGATACAGGTTAGTTAGTCTGTTATAGCTATAGCCTAAGTTAGTCCTAATTCTTAAAACTTGGACACTAATATTGTATTGATTTGTGATATACACGGCCAGCCATAACAATCTAGCTATCTTCCGATAAGTATACGAGATTTGGAGCTCACGTCCTTTTAAAAGACCCTTCATGAAGTTCTGATGAAACTTGACACACTCCGTTGCCGCAACCTTGACCTTTGAAATGGATTTCACAGTCTCCAAATTCAATTAAGATTTAATTTTAATTGTTATTTTGTTTGTAGGCCCTATACTTATTGTGGAAATAAAACTGATTTGATTTTAAAATAAAATTCCAACGTTTGAAGCACTATAGGCCCTAACTTAGTCCTATTTGAGAATCGTTAAATTTATTGATCAATACAACTATAAAATTGAATCTTTGAAGCACTATTTCAATTTACTGTAGGGTATTAATATTCATCATTTATAAGTCCTACTAGGCCTACTAATTTAAGTTAATTCAATATAACTTAGTCTATGCTAGCTCTAAAACTTGTTGTTTTTTATGTAGTCTACACCAGTTCTCAAATAATTTGGAACCAGATCCTGTTCAAATTACCAAGTTGTTAAACCGGATATGCAATGAAAATGAAAAAAACTAGCAATGCGCGGTTGCAAGATGTGTAAACAATCTAAATGTTCCTTCTCGAGATGTTCCGCTTATCGATTGTTTTAATTGCTTATCGACATGTTTGTACAATCAAAATGTTTCTCTCGATTGTTACATTAATTAAGCCAAAATGTCTGTCTGCATCTGTTTTGAAACAAGGGAAGTTAACTTAATTCGTTTTTGTCTAGATTTCTTATAGAATAACTTACCCGTTGTGTACAACAAGGTACAACATATAATTAGGCTACTGTTGACATTTGAATAAACACCTATGGCACTCCGTCATGACAGTAGCAATAGAAAATTATTTTTCAGTAATGATAAACATTACGAGAACTTTCAGAATCGCTTTACAAATTTTCATACGGTAAGCATTTTGTTCATAAAATATCTCGTTAACTTAACAGTTGTAATATATTCCAACTTTGTCAGCCATTGATGTAGAATCCAGCAAGTATTTAAGTAACTATGAAAAAATCACTTAGCGATAAAACTCAGATGTTTATTTGCTTAAGTCTGTTTTACAACCGAACCATAAAATCTTAAATGTCAGAAAATCTTCACCTCTTACAGTCAACTTAGGTCATTTGGCTTGTTAGAATAAGTCAGATGTCAGATGAAAATTTTGGCTGGCAGAAAACGAGTCCGAGTCACGAAGTTGAAGAAGCCACCCCAAGAAGTGCCAGTAGAAGAAGTTGAACCTGCCAGTAAAAAAAAAAATGATGCTTCAGTGGTTAGATTTTTAGCGTTTCTTTTGATTTAACTTAAACTTTCCCATGGACCTATGCATGATTAGAGGCCCAAACAGCATTTCAAGAATAAGTTTGAAAATCAGAACCGGCACCGATTGCTCTTAAACTTACTGTACTGTCAATAAAATCATTAGGTTTAACATTTACGGAAGGAACTATGTATCTACAAGAATTGTAGATTGAGCCTATTCAATCTTATTGATTAATCCCAATAGCCTTTGGACAGTTTTTTCTTCCAAATTTTCCATGATTGATACTTTTGAACAAAAAACTTAATCAGATCTTTGTAGGGTTACTAAATTATTTCTTGCCAGCAACCTTACACTTGATTTAGATTGGTATAAAGTTAATAAAATATTTTCTTGGAGGTAATTAGTAAAATGATATTCATATTCTCTTCATGCTTTGAAATTTATTAAGTAAAAATAAATCTTCCTTTACATGTTATAATCTTTACTTGAAAAGGGGTTGTTACAATCATCTTACTTCAAAACAATTAAAATGGTAAAATTCTTCATTAATACTTCAAATACGTCAACCCTAAAAAGAACCAAAAGTAATTAATATTCTACTTTAAATACATTTCTTTAAAGAGCAAATTATTTCAAGATAAAAAAAGGTACCTATACTGAATAACATCATACAAATTGGTTACAAAATTATAAATATGGCATGTTTACAAAATTAGGTTTAGCAAGGCAAATGAATATATCTACTTGAAACTTACTTACCCAAAAGGGGGAATTTTAAAATTACAAAAAATTTTATAATAGTCACATGCATCAAACTACTACTTCACAAGACAGACAGAGAATGAGGATGGAACGGAACCTGGAAAAAGCATGCTGACTGTGGACTGTTCTCTGATTGGCTAAAATTCACAAGTTCTGGAATATTCCAGCCAATCAGATCACATCCCCTTGCTTCAACCTGTACAGTGATTTTCATAGAACATTCTTGTTATTGGCTTTCAAGTTGAATTTGGCTTTATTCTGAATTTAATTTAATTTCATAGTTTTACTCAAATAAATAATTTTCTAAAATGTATAACTTGCTTGAATAAAATATTTTAATTTAAGGAAATGTAGTAAAATTGTTTTTGAAGTTAACAAAAAAAAATAGCTAAAATAAAATATTGAAAATAAAATGCTACATCTTTTTAAAGACAATCCAACATGAAAGACCATTTTTTTTGTGTTGTTTCCGGACCAATTCCAGTACCATTTTATATGGAAGACCAAGTACAGCCTTTAAAACAAATGTACTCTTTTTGTTCCAGGAAAAGGCGTTTCTTTGTTCTGCCAAATGCTGCTCTGACCTGCTCAATTCTTCTTCAGAGGAGGTTCAGGATTGTGTCGAGAAATGCAATAAGACATATTTTGAATCAGTCAACTATTTTAATAGGGAGATAAAAAACTTTCATGTGAGTCAATTCAGAATTTTGTTCGTAGAGGTACATTATAATCGGTTAAAATAAGCAAGTGTAATTTATACTTCACATAGCCAAATAAAAGTTACAGATTAGCAGGAATAATACCTAGTTACATTTAAATTAAATAAATGCAAATATGAGTAAAAGATTTTAAACTATGTAATTATTTTGTTGGGAGTTATAGATAAATCTATATTAGACAGGCTCAGTCCCAATATGATCGATGTTGGTCTAAGACCCATTTAATAAATATTTATTAATTACTGCAACTAGCTGGCTTGACAATGATTTTAGATAACTGATAATTTTCTGCGACCGCAGAAGATTTATTTAGTTGCTAGTGTTCCCGCACCTCTGAGAGGTGTACATTATTTTGCCACTATCGCGGCAGACCATGATAATGTTTCCGTGATCGCGTAAGACGCTGGCGATAATTAGGGTTTTGCCATGATCGATTGTAACAAATTGTGTCTGTGACCGTGAGGGATAAACAATATTTTTGCCGAGAGTGCGGGAGACAGTGATGATGTCCACACTACCATGGAAAATGGTCACAAAATGATTGCGATAATATTTCTACCAATAAGTGAAGGCATCAAGGAGTTGGACTAGCCGAGGTCAGATTAGCAGTGTTCTACTGTATATGTAAGTCAATTCATAGCCGATCCTAAGTGTTCCCACACAGGTCATTTTACCACTACACCACTGCTGCCAGGAAGAGTTTCTTTCAGGATTAAGCACATTCAGACTTCCCAGACTACTGAACAATTTCCAACTGAACATGCAATGCATCTAACTAGAAGTTGTTGTCCTTTCCTGCCTAATTCAAGCACCTGAAGCTAAAGGAGACAGGAAATTACACCACACAAGGCAAAATGAAATGCCACAATACGGAAATGTTGATTCTGCGAGTGGCATGTTCCTTCCCATCTAGTGCAGTTAGCTTTCAGTTAATAACACAGAGACTGCATGGTACTTTCCTGTTAAATGGAACATTCATTATTATTGATGATTTTTTTTTTTTGATATAAGTTTAATATCGATATTTAATTTTTTGATCCGATATATATCGATAACGAATTGAAACATTTCAGCAGACAACTACGATAAATAAATATTGTTCAGTACCAAGAAACAATTAAAAATATATTATATTGAAATTAAGCTGTTCTAAACTAACTTAATCTAACTAACCAAACTGTAACATTTCAAAATTCCGTTTGATTTTCCGTCTTTTCTATTATCAAACGGAATTTCAAAATGGTACAGTAAGTTTGGTTAGTTATGTTAGGTTAGTTTAAGCAGTTTCATTTCTTAATCCATATATATATTTTTTTTGCCTAAACAAGATCAGTTGTCAATTTGTAATTTAAATGCGTTAATTATTGATATATCAAAAAAAATTTATCGATAATAATGAATGTTAGTTTAACAGGAAAGTACTGAAAGCATTCTCTAGAAACTTTTCTGACTGTATCCTTTCTTTTTTAGTGGAACCCAATCTTTAATTTTCTTGATACAGTGGAGTCCCGATAATCCGAAAGTCCGCTTAATCCGAAACCAAAAAATATATTTTTTATATAAAAAAAATATATTTTTATATTTTTTATAAAAAAAATTAATTTTTAAAATTTTAAAAAATTTTTGAAATTTTTTTTAAAACTTTTAACACAGTTAGCTGTACCTCGTCAAAGAATTCTGTAGCGGCCGGGCGAGATAGACTTTTTTTGTAGAGTAGAGTATTTTATTCCAACCATTTCGGACTAACGGGACTCTACTGTATGTTGATATAATCACCCCGTTCCTATTACCCGATTTTGATAGTCCACGAACTCAATCAAATTTATCCAGCTATGCACATTCATGTTAAATTTAATCAAATTCTGACCAAGATATCAATGAGTCGGGCTTGAGTTTAGGTCTTTCTGTGCTGCCTACAATAGCTTCTTCCATATTGGGAAATTTGCTGAATGCAGCCAAAAAATTATATCCAGTAGGAATTATAAGTATTTTCCTTACTTCACAGTTTATAGGCTAACCCTCACTGTGTTAGTTAAAGTAAATAAATTTTCAACATATTTTAGGATTAAACTGTTAGGTTATTTGTCACGTCGGAAATGATTCTCGTAGTTTTCAGTTGTATGACTCAGAGATACGGTTTTCCAAAACATTTCTATTATTCTCTCAAAAGACTATAGATTGTAAATTTTCATAAGCACTGAGCAGAAATGTAGTGTCTTCTATCCATACTTGATTTGTTTAGTTGTTTAGACAATAGTTGTTTTTGTTTAGTAAATATTTTGTAAAATGTTTTTGTATTTATGATATGTGACTTTGAGACTTGGTGCTTAATTATTCCTTTTTTTTAGTCACGCCTTCAACGATGTGTCAATGACTGCAGTGATGCAGCCAATGATAAAATAGGCACCACTCCAAAGCCCGAAGAGGTAAGTGGTATCGTTTTCTCCCAGTGTACAACTCAACTGTAAAAATTTGAAATAGGCCTAGTGAATGAAATTTGTTCAACTATGAAAAAACACGGATTGAGCCTCGATCTTGTAGTTAAACCTTGACGATAGAGATGGGTCAATTTTTATTCTCTATTCCACAAAACTTTTGCAATACATTGAGACTTTGAATTCAATACCAATATATATTGATTTTATAATGTATTGCAACTGTACAAAAATCATAACCATCTACAGTAGAACCCTCATATCCGACCATGACGGACCGAGCCATGGTCGGAACGGCCAAAAGGTCGGATATTGGGAGGAGCATAACTTGCAGTCTCTGCGACATCAGTAATTGTCTCCCGTGATTGCGGCAACACCTCAACACCTGCGAGCGTGAACTTACAGTCTCCGTGGCTTCGGTAATCGTCTCCCGTGACCGCGACAACACCCATGAGCGTAACTTACAGTCTCCGCAACTTCCGTAGTTGTCTCCTGCGGCGGCGGCAAAATTTGTTATCAGGGACAGTGGTAGTCGTCTTCCGCAATTATGGCAACATCCGCGATCGGTCTTTCGGTTAACCGATCGAACTCGGCGTTATCGCCCCAGACAGGAAACAAGTAGACGGTCGGATACTAGGTCGGATATCCCGAGGAGTCGGTTATTCCAAGGTCAGATATGAGGGGTTCTACTGTAGCCTTTCTTGTTTGTAATTATCTCATAATAACGTCTAGCGATTGCAACCAGTTTGTGAATTTTAGTTCTCACAAATATTGGACAAATATCTTCGATTGTTTTAATATTCCATGGTTCCAAGTATGAAATAATGATTAAAAACCCCCCAAGTTATTAAATCCCGCCAGTTAATTTTAAAATGCATAACAAATTATTATTTTTAAATAAATAATATTTATGAATAATGAAGGTTAATGTAGGACAGGATGAGCACGCTTACCTTAAGGTATCTTTAATTGTGTCCTTAATTCTCAGGAAATAAGCCCATTCCAATCAAGCCTGAATTTTAATGTAGGATTTTCACCTGGGCTAAGTCCACCACTAAGGAAGGCCTAATAACTGAAGATCAGATGATAAAGTTTCTGCTGCACAAGAAGGTTCTAAAGATATTATTCAATCTGTGCTATTAAATAATCAGTTACATTGGTAGATGTAGATGCTAATTTAATTTTTGTTTCAGATGGACAAGGCTATCAAAATGTTTGAAGACTGCTCCACCAAGTGTATCGACAAGCATATTGCTTTTCTCCCTGAATTTCTTACTAAAGTCCATGAAGTTCTGGGGAAAACACTTAAAGGTGTAGTTTAGAGACGCCAAACGGGTTCAGAGTTAGACGCATCAGCAACACAGACTTCAGTCTTAAGTTCTCAACCAAATGTACTTGTTGACATGTTTTTAGCGAATTTCCCATATAGGGAAGTTAATACAGTAAGTCTCATGTTAAGACACTAGTGTTAGCACCCGGGACCGATTTGCTTTTTTGTTTTGTCAAATCAGGCGAATGGAAATTCGCCTAGTCTGCAGGTTTACTGCGGCAGGGGTATTATTGTTCTTGAATATGTTAATATTATAACTTGGAGACCAGAATATTTGTTCATTGTTGTTACTCAGAGATAGATTATACCATGTTACCAATTGTGCCTCTGACTGCTAGGAGCCTACGCAAGGGAGGGTCATAATAGTAAAGTCAAACATATTTTGTTTTATGTATATCAAATTAATATCTGGATCCCAGCCACGAAAAATACCTTAAGTTTTTTGTGGAATCCTCCCTGCTATTTTGCTCCTAATGATTTTTGTTGTTGTTAGTTTTGTTATTTGATTTTGTTTCCTTTTTTAGTGAATTCTAGGTTAAATGTTAATATGCTGGTAGTTTTTGTCTCTGATAGTTTTGAGATACAAGTAGGCCTACTTTGTACCCTGATCCTGTTCATGTCTTAAATAACTAGATATTTTTGGTCAAAGGCTCTAGGCTAGGATTCCTAATTAAGGTCTAAAGAGGAAGAGAAAGTTCAGCTTTGGATGGTTTAATAAGAGGTAATGGTGTAGTGGTAATAAGATGAGACTATTAGTTAAACCATTTATTAACACAAGTCTACTTGTAAATTTATAAATAAACATACCGTTTTTATATAAAGTGGTTTATTTACTTTTATTTTTGTCCCAGTTCTAAAATTGTAGTAATTTCAACCCTGGTTACATCATGATCACGTAGATGCCATTGTCGAGAAATTTGTAACTTAAGTCGGCCGCTTGGAAGTTGTCAAGAGGTTTCTATTTACACCAACTCACCGAAACACACACATTTTAGTGATAAAAGACAAATTTTGTAATGTTCACGTGGATGGAGACATACCTGTGTACTTATTTACCATTTCTTATAACCCAATAATTGTTCTGCGAGTTACAACATTTTAGGGCTACACCGTTTTATTCAGTATTAAAAATGTTAGGATGCCAGCAAACAGTAATACAGACAAAACTTGAGCATACAAATTTAAATCAATTTGATTGGTACAGAAAACCCCTGATTAAACAAAACAAAATAAAGGGGGCGAGTCCGTTTTGGATAACCTATATTTTCATTTGGAATTTGAAGGCTGTTTTGGTGCATAGAGATCTACAACAGGGTTTTTATGTTATGTAAAAAAACTGTCATTTTAAATTGTACAACTTTATACCCGAAATTTATTCCTTAAAGTAATCAACAATTGTTTCCTAAACGTTATCTACACAGCAGTTACATATTGGGCAACAGAGCGGATGACTCCTGTTTCCTTGAAAATTTTCCAAATGATTTTTAGTTTTTACTATGGTTTTAAAAGTTCAATCAACCTGGGTTAAGGTTAAATGGAGTGTGTGTTTAAGGAGGGTTTCACTGTAACTGTTACCAATAGTTAAAAATATGAATTTATTGATTTATTAATCTCTTTAGCGTATGAACTTAAGTCTTTAATAAGGAAGTTCTTCCTCATTTGCTCTGCTCCAGTCGTAATAGTAACTTGCTTGATCTGACTTAGCTATTGCTTTGGCAGCTAGATCTCTTCGCATTGTGTCCATCGTTGAATTCAATGTATGAATATATGATTCTATGCATAGGCGAGTGCATGTATTACGATCTTTTAAATCCGCTTTCTGTAATAAAATTGATCATTTTAATCTTTAACAGCTACAATAGTAGGCCTAACTATAAATAGTTTGAAAAAAATGTAATGGCTTTTAACAGATAAATATTCTAACATGGAATATGCTGCATTTTGCACTATTCATTTCAATTTATATTAGTTTAGTTTCAGTAACAATTCCTGTCAGAATAGCATTAACAGAAATGTACATAAATAATAATAAGAAAATGCAATAATAATAAATTACAATCTGTAAAATGTATGTAAACGTTTTCCTAAAATTTCATCTTTATGTTTTAACCAACAAGAATCGTATAGCAAATTTTTTATCATACTTGTATGAGTAAAGCTGTACAACTTACTTTCTTTGGGTTCTCGTCATCCTGATATTCTAAGTCTACATCATCCATTTGTTCAAACCAGCTGTTCATCAGATGCTGGAACAAAAATATTTAAAATCATTTGAATACGTTTTTTTATGAACCGCAAAGGAAACAGACCATTGTACCCTTTAGTTTAATTGAATCCTAAAAAGTATTAAACAATTAAACAAATGTATTAGTCTAATTTAAAAACAGTTGTCCATAATTATTTTAACATTATAAAGAGAACAATTGCAACAACTTCCTTGGTGGAAAAAGTTTCTGTTTTTGAGAGCATCAGAGCCTCCTGTGTTCTTGGTGCACTCATTTCGAGAGCTCAGTTTTGCTTTAGATGAGCTAACCCCTGAAGTGTTGGAAATGCAATATCTGGAGTTGCGTCAAGGTTTAATTCTGGTGGTGTTTTTGGTTTTATAGAAACCATAAGTCCCCACAAGTGAATTGCTGAGTGTGGATAAGGCTATATACTGTAATTACTGCAGGAGATTGCCTGGTATCCTGGAGGCACCGTACTCGCCACCCCTGAGAAGCCCGGTGGCATTTACCACTTCGACACGGGTCGCTTGACACCACTGAGGTTTGGCTGAAACAGAAGCAAAAGGAAAGGAGAAGGGAAGAAGATTTCTTCAATAAGAAAGCGAAGAAGAAAGGAGAGCCAGCAAAAGAAGAAGTATGCTGGTCATAGAACCCAGAACAAAGAAGAGGAGGAATCTGTGGAATGGCTAGGGTACCTCGGGGTCGCCAGAGGCCTCCCGTGTAGTTGACAGACAACAATCCCTGAGGACGGTGGGGCATGTATGTGTGTGTGTTTAGGGCTGTTCACAACCCCAATGATAAAGATGAGTCACAAAGCATCACTTGGATAAAACCTTTAGGTAAGAAAGCATTGGCCTTCTTATCAAAATTAGAATTAATTGTCACTACTCCGGGTATTTTAACACACTAATATCATTCTGACTCAGGCATGATCAAATTGTGGTGCGATTAGAGAATTTTAGGATATTGATTATGTTTTTTATACATAAATTCAAAGTTCCACATTTTTATATCACTAGCTCAAGGAGTTCAAGTAACCTGGAACAATATTTCATCACGCAAACAATTTTATAATAAATTATAGAATTACCTCAGAATCACTATAATCGGGCCACCAAAACTCTTTTAGTTCTTCAGCAGTTATCTCTCCGTCATCACCCTCGTCATCTCTATCATTCACATTGAAGCCTTCACCACTGTCACACTTTCCGATACATGTGTTGTATCGTCTCTGGAAACAGTATTAGTAGTTTGAAGCAAAAAATATTTCACGACATGTCCTAAAAGAATAGAAATGTTAACAGGTTTTAAATAATAGAGAATCTTGGTTGTTTTCACAATCATTATCTGTTTGTTAAACCCCTTAAATTATTGTGAAAGTTAAAGAGAACTGGAATAAAGAATTACAGTATACTCTTGGTAATTCAAATATTTAATGGATCAAAACTTCGATAATTCAAAATAAATTCACAGTCCGTAGAGAATTCCCTGATATTTCAATGTTTTACCATGTATTTTGATACTCTACATCCTAGGTACAGTAGCTCTGATGTTTAGTTAGAGCAGTTATTGAGTTGTCTAGTCAGCAGTGTATGTTCATTGGAAAAATATTTATTTGTACAATATCACTGAAACCGCAAAGCCCAGGTGTATAACCAATTGATAATATTTTCTGATTTGTAAGCATTTGTGATGTCTCTCACATGGTTGTTTTGAACGTTAATATATTTTTGCTTGCACGCCAAATCCACTCTTTTATTTGTTCCTTTGGTAAACCTGTGGTCTGGACACCCGCCCGGCACACGGGTAGTGCGTTTCCAGTTTTGGGTGGGGTCGAGGCTGGTGTCCGGTTCAGATAACCAAACCTTAAGTTGCATCCAGCTTTTCCCTTCCCTCCAACTTATCCGTCAAACAAAAAAGGCTTGAATGACAACTAATTTATTCCATGAGTGGCTAGTATCATTAAAAGGACATGAAAAGTCAAAATCGTAAAATTATCTTTTTTCTTGACAATGGTTGGTCCTCAACAATTTTCCTCATTTGTCAAATGTAAAGCTTTGTCGACATTTTTCGCCAAACACATATTCAAAGTTGCAGCCACTTGACCAAGGCGTTGTACAAAATTACAAAAGGAACCTTACATATTGAAAAATGAATTTTTTGTAATTTGAATTTTTTTTCTCTCCAAATGATCAAAACTCTTGGTAATTAAAATTTATTCTCTTTACCCTCCAAGACAAGGTTTTATTAAAATTGAGCAGCACTGCTCTGCTCAGCCTTAATAGCCCATAAAATGATAAGAAAAGAGTTGAGAGTAGAGGTTGTATGGTCTCTTATTACAAAGTTCAAGGTCAGGTGTCAGTAATTGCCTGTGGCTGGGTGAACTGTCAGTAGTGTCATTGACTAGTATCTTTGACTATTAATACAACTAGACATTCCATCCCCATGTTAAAGTTGTCGCCAGGTTTTGTTTTTAATCAAATTTGTATTAGTTGAAGTGAGCCACCTACAGATTGCACTGATATAAATTACTGATTTCTGCCGATTACACGATGGTTTTTACCAAGTCAAACTAATGGAATGACTTATTATGAGCTATAGCAACTGTTATGACCCAGTAACTATGTCAGTAAAAAAAAGGTACAAAATAGAGTTTTAGACACTAGAACAATCTGTGACTGGCTCACACAACTACATCAGTTTTTAGTAAAAAATTGGCGACAGCTGATCCATATAGATGGGATGTCTTCTTCTGTATCCAATAGTCAATGCTAGTATCTACTATACTACATCCATATATAGGGATCAGGCTGGTCTAATGGTAGAGCGCAGGGCTTCAGTGCCCGAGGTCGAGGATTCAAATCCCGCCAATCACCTATGGATTTTATCAATGTGATAATGCCGCACCGCATCCGCAACCCACTACTGCTCGTACTAGCCTGAAGTAATGTGTAAAACAGTTCCGGGCTAGAACTAGCGTCCTAGGATGTGAATGTGTACATAAAAAAAACTACTAACTTATATCCACACAGACATTACACTAGATATAAATAACATAAATAAAAGTAGCCTGTTTGAAATTCATTTGTACAAACTGCTTTGTCTCTTGTTTACAATCTAACTGTGATCACTGGATTGAAGATGAAATTGAATCTAGGGCAAATTGAAATTAGGGCAAAGCCCTAAAGTAAATTACCTTTTTAATTACCATTCGTCATTTCGCTAGATCGTAAGATTTACAATGACACCTCAATCAAAAAATATAGTTAAGTAGGACATGTAAAAAAGGGATGTAACAGAGAAACCCCTTATTGTATTAAGTATAAGTATACAGGGTGGTCTGGACCTAGCGTTAAACAATTTTTCGGGTGGTAGAGCAACACAAGTGTGACTCAAATCCACGATTTAAAAAAAATATATTCCATACGCCCACTTGCAGAAACATTATTTAGATTTTTTTAGAAAAACCTGTACATTTACACAAAATTTTAAAATTATTATACTCTAGTATTTTCATACATTTTTATAACTTTGACACTACCATCATATTCTACATTAAATTCTATGTAAGAATAGACAGCTTTTGGTGAGCCCAAAGCTTCAGAATTGCTATTTAAATTGATTAGAACTAAGAAATTTTGATTTTCACAAAAAAAATTAAAAATAAGCCTACATACACTTTTTTTTAAGAAAAATACTAGAGATTAGCAAGTGGCTACAAAAACTGCTCTAAAATCTTAGCTTTTAAAAGATATGATGAGGCTTTTAATATGCTTCCTTTTAAGTACAGCTATTCCAGTTATAACTGTGGAAAACATGGTTTAAGGAAAACAAAAACACACTAAAACAAACCAAAAAGACACACATGATAGTTTTTGTTATTATAGAAACAGCATGAGGCTGCAACAAAATTTGTATCTAGACAAGTTCAAAACGATTTCCAACTATTAGTTTGATAACCAAACTAAAATGCAAGTTCATTTTAATTTATTTTAAAAATGTCCTCCATTCTCTCTGATGCAGGCTCTACCTCTCTTCCAAAAAGAAATCCATGGGGTTCAGATCAGGAGATCTTGCAGGCCAGGGCACTGGAATTGAATAAACCTTGTCTTGTAAAAAGAGCTTCATCCGTCCACAAAATATTGTTGAAAAAGTTGTATTGTTCAATGTCAGAATTCAGGAGGTAGCGACAGAAATCTACTCTAGCACCATGCTCTCCTCCATACTCCTTTCATAAAAGATTTACTTTAAACGTTTGGGCAGCTGTGATTGGTGATTGCTTCTTAGGTCCCCATATTTTTTAGGGAAGTTTGAGTGGATAGATGTACCTGGAATTTTTGCAATACCATCTGCCTCAAATTTTGGATGTGATTGATCCTGTGCTCCGTCAAGATGTCATTTATCAACAAGACGGAGCACCTCCTCATTTTATGAATGACATTCGAGATTGGCTGAGTGCTAACTATCCCACGTGGATAGGCCAAGGAGGTCCGGTGCCCTGGCCCGCAAGATCTCCTGATCTGAACCCCATGGATTTCTTTGCGGAAGAGAGAATGGAGGACATTTTGAAAACAAATTAAAATGAACTTGCATTTTAGTTTGGTTATCAATCCAATACTTGGAATTTGTTTTGAACATGTCTAGATACAAATTTTGTTACAGCCTCATGCTGTTTCTATAATAATAAAAACTATCACATGTGTCTTCTTGGTTTGTTATAGTGTGTTTTTGTTTTCCTTAAACCATGTTTTCCACAGTTATAACTGGAATGGCTGTACTTAAAAGGAAGCAAATTAAATGCCCCATCATATCTTTTAAAAGCTAAGATTTTAGAGCAGTTTTTGTAGCCATTTGCTAATCTCTAGTATTTTTCTTAAAAAAAGTGTCTGTAGGCTTATTTTTAACCTTTTTTTGTGAAACTCAAAATTTCTTAGTTCTAATCAATTTAAATAGCAATTCTGAAGCTTTGGGCTCACCAAAAGCTGTCTATTCTTACATAGAATTTAATGGAGAATATGATGGTAGTGTCAAAGTTATAAAAATGTATGAAAATACTAGAGGAATTTTAAAATTTTGTGTAAATGTACAGGTTTTTCTAAAAAAAATCTAAATAATGTTTCTGCAACTGAGTGTATGGAATATATTTTTTTTTAATTAAATCATAATATAAAATGAACTTTTACCTTGATGTCATTAAAAGTAGATGTAATGTAATAAACTGCCTCACTGGATGTCAAATGACACTTCTCAAGACAATCTAAGTAATCAATTGACGCAGGAAATTGCTTATCACAGCATTCAGATGCACATGTGTATGCTTTTTTCTGAAACAGGATTAAATAGTGGAGTACAAATCTTTCCTATTTGTTAACAGCTGCAGCATGAAAGAAAGATTGATTTTCCTAGATAGAATAATAAAAAAATAGCTAAAGTGTTTCAAACGAAACAAAACAAGTGTATAATGGGTTAAAAAATCAATATAAGCATTCAATGAAGAATGCCAAAATAAAACATAACACAGATATAGAAAAAAGTAATAACAAATGTAAACCTGCTTGGGAAGTCATTAAAACCAGTAGCAATTCTTTGATCAATTCAAAAACACCCGAAATCTGATATTTTCAATACCTTTTTTATTGAATCAGTTGAAAACATAAAATAGAGAATTGTTAATCATGCTTCCAGTTCAAAAGATTTCCTTAATAAGTCTTCTATCACTGCTGTGCCTTTTTCCTGGGATTTTATCATGAAAAATGATCTAATAAAAGCCACAAAAAAACTGAAAACCTCTAATGATGGTTATCTTAGGTCTAATACCTTGCTTAAACAGATTATTGGTAATATAGCTGAAACTCTATCTTACTGCTTTAATATCTGTCTCCTTGAAGGTGTCTTTCCAGATAAGTTAAAGATCACCAGAGTCTGTCCCATTTAAAAAAAAAAAGATAAAAAGGACTCTCCGGAATGTTATCGTCCAATATCAATCATTCCAGTAATATCAAAATTGTTTTAAATCATGGTTTTTGATCAGCTGAATTCTTTTTTTGAAAATAACAACTTCGTAAGTGTTTTGCAATTTGGACAAATTGCACGTAGGTAATCCGTGTACGCTTGGAAATAGGTTGGCAACACTTAAAGATAATAATACTATGATCAGCTGATTGACTATTATAACTACAATTTAACATGTCATTTCATGTTTATAGTTTATATTATATATTCGTTCAACGCTTGGTTTGAACATAACCTGAAGTGTAGTATTTGAAAGATGAATTAAGTGGGCATAACACGTTTAAAAATAATGAACTGGTGAAAGTAAATTGTGAATATAATGGTAGACCAGAAATAGCAGAAACTGAAAACATGTTTCATTAAACCTGTTACCTATAAAATCAAGAAAGAAGTATAAATGAGCATACAAACTGTTTTCCTCATCTTGGAGCGTAAGTAAGAAAGTTACAAAACTGCCAGAAAATGTTTTATTGGCATATTTTGAAGAACAATATACTTGTTTATTATGTGTATAAAGTATGCATTTAAACGGTCCGTTTTAATGAGATTTTGGGGACGTCGGTTTAACCGGAAAAACCATTATCCGGACTGGCCTCGGTCCCGAGGAGTCCGGATAAGAGGGAGTCTACTGTATTGCCGGTTTGATGCTGAGAAAAGGAAGTAGCTTTTAGTTGGTTCGGATTTTAACCCAGCCGTCCCTCGATCATTGAAGTTTTAATAAAAATTATACTGGCTATGAAACAGCTGGCCTTAGTCAGCCACTAACAAAGCTGCACAGATATCACTTTATTCTAAACTTACACTTAATTTATATTCAAAATTATGCACCAAAGTCAGTGTTATTGTCTTAGAGAACTTAATTGAGTAGAGTCACAGAAAACATACTACTATAACCCAGAATGCTGACCGCGTGGGGCTTTGCCTGTCAATTCGTAGGCAGCGCCACCAGCATACAATGCACCAGCATAGCAATGCTGGCAGCATTGATGCTGGTGGCGCTGCCTAGGAATTGACAGGCAAAGCTCCACGCGGTCAGCATTCTGGGTTATAGTAGTATGTTTTCTGTGGTAGGGCTTAAAATAGTTTTGAAAAATGTCCAAATAACTATTAATCGTCTTAATTAAGTATACAAGTGATTGCAATTAATGAGATCATATGTCAAGAAAGATTATTAAAGAACATTTGAAAGTAACAAAAATTTATCTTCATATGAATTATATTTTTGCTGTTCTTCTATAAAAGGCAACATTGGAAAAACTAATTGAACCTAAATTATTGTCCCTCATTAGAACTCAGCACTAGTTACAGAATGTCCATAGGGTGTGTGGGATTAGAAAATAGAGATGATCAGTACAAAAAGACACCAAACAAATGTTTGCTTCAAATACCTACAACACATTAAAATATTGTTAATATTTCATGTCTTTAAAACCCTATGAGTAAGTTTGTTCTTGTTCCTTACTTTTAGCTGATGAAGTTATTTAAATACATCCAAGATGATCCATTTAAAACCCTTGCTTGGTAAATATCCAATCCTTATTTAAAAACATGAATTGACTTACTTTAATCTTTGTAAGATAAACTAAATTAATTTCCTCTAATGCTTCAAGATATCCATTAAACAACTGTTGTTTCAATGTTTCCAAATCCTCTGTCATAACAAAGAGCCTCAACCAAAATGCTTTCAAATACCAATTTGCAGAGAACAATCATAGATATATGAATTCATCGAACTACAATTTTAATTTGTTTATCAGCAAAGCTATTTTAAGATAACATCAGTAGTATGAGTAGTAAACAACTATCTAATTTTTTCATGGACATAACAATATTACTCACAGCTGAAGTAGAAGTTTAGATAAAACTGTTTCTATTTTGTTGTCAATATAGTCCGTTCACAAAATTTAAGCGGTTTGAGGAGAAGTTCCCCCACTACCTTTTTGGCGTAATGTAATTGTTGCAGCTGATTGACGTTTTGGCAAACCTCAGCTGTTGAGCTATTGTTTTAAAGGTAGGACCAAGTGGAGGGGATAGCTTTCTTCCCCTAAAACCACATACATGTTGTGAACATAGTATAGATTTTGCAAGCTTTCTTACAAACTAGTGTATTTGACTAATCTTACTCTGCTATTTTTGTAATTGTTAGAACAATCTCTAGTATTACAAACACTACACAGACATAGGTATTTAGTGGTTTTGATTAAGTTGTAAAGGGTAGTGCAGATTCTGAAATCTATTCTGGCAGGACTCGAGAAAACTTTAAATGAACGTAACTGCTCATCTCCACAAAAATAACCATATTACGAAGTTTGGCAACAGATTTTACAGACAAGTAAATCAAGATTCTGCAAACAATGTTAATGAAACCATTCCAAAAATATGTCCTGTAAATTAAGGGAAAATATGAAAATAGCCATTGGACTCTCTTGATCTACCCTATTGACTCTGACCTTGAAAGCTTACCTTTGTTTTTGAAAGTCACCCTGTATTGGTAAAACTCATGAATGAGGATAATACTGTAGTAAACGGGAATGTTGCTGGAAGTCAACAGTCCCGGAAGATCAAATAATTTATACCTATGCCGCTAGGTCAAAAACTACAATGTTTGCAGTGTCTGTAGATCAAAAGTCCCAGTAAGTCAAATAATACAGTCCGAGCTAAAAACGTGGTCTATGTTAAAGCAATTGACTTATTGGGAATTTGACCTAATGCAACAGCAGTTTTAATATAACGTAATACGGTAAAATACAAGTTCAGTTTCGCTGAGTCAACAGTGCCAGAAGATCAAAAGCAATAAAAGTGAACGTCGATTCAGTGTAAAGTAGACCTCCTGCAACGCTTACTACACCAACAAAACTCGCTTTTAGTTACTTCGTGTTTTGTCATAATTAGAATTGAGCTAAAAATATCATATTTGGTACATAGCTTATCTATTAAAGCTTCTTGCCAACTGTTTGGTCAACACTGTAAATAGGTATAGCCTTTCGTCAAAATTTGTGGCATAAAATACCCGCAAGGACGATCTGAAAATTTCTGGTTATTATATACGTTTGTAAAAGGAGATCTAATTAATTGTAGAACTATTTTATAAGTTATAATGTAGTCTACATATAAACTGTGTAAATGTATTACGCCTCGGAAGGGTTTAAATCTGTCCAAACTATCATATATATTATTAAACCGTAAATGGGGGTTTTTCACGATTCAGAATCAACCAGACGATGGATTTTCATTAGTTTTGTTTTGAAAGAAAGACAATTTTGAGAACTAGGGAATTTCAAAGCCATAATTTAAAATTTGTGTCCCAGTTTTTATAAATTAAGTTTTAGTTTTTAAAAAGTCTAGCAGCCGATGCTAACCTTCTCCAATAAGTCAATGCTTCTAGCTAGCTTTTAGTACAATATAATTTGCTTAACGTAACAGCTGTAACATTCAGCATTTGTGACACAAATTCAGCATTTGGAAGAAAATTCAAATACATACTTATGGTTGGCTTATTTTATACTATGTGTAATTCTGACCATTGATACATTTAATTCTTCGGTACGAGGATGGCAGATTAATTAAATATGCAAAAATACAGTAGTAGGATGTTCAAATTATTTTTTAAAGTATTCTTTGTAATCATCGATTTGTTTTAGTCCAATATAATTTGTTTTAACTAACAGCTGGTTGAATGTGCTATGTATACTTATAAAAGGCAAAGCCCTCACTGACACACTCACTCTCACTCACTCATCATCACTAATTCTCCCACTTCTCATTTACCTAGGAGGCTGAAATTCGATACACCGATTCTTTGGGCATTAAATAGGAAAACTGAGTAATTTTTATTATGATAGGACATTCGAGCTTCGCCCCAGGGGCTCTGGAGTTTCCCATGTTAACCTTATGATTTTTCATATTTAAAAGGAATTAATGAATCTTAACAGCTGTGTCAATTAAACAATTTATGACAACAGCTAATTTGCAACCAAAAGCTGAGTGAGCGTTTCGAACGAACTTCAACCTGGAGGCGAGTTAACCCCAAGGCAAGTGAGCTCAGCGAACGAGCTCCAACCTAAAGATGAGTGAGCGTAGCGAACGAACTTCAACCAGGACGTGATTGAGCCATGCGAACGAGCTCATCTTGAAAATTAATTAGCTAAACGGGGCAAAGCCAGCGGGTACAGCTAGTTAGTCTATAGAATTATTAGGTTTTTAGCGAATTTCGCATATAGGGAATAAGCTATTACCGTAGTACTCATGGCAACACCTGGACCCGGGACCGATGTAATTTTTCGTTTTGAGTCCCTAGAGGCCAAAAACACTATCCGTTCAAATTCATATATATGTAAGTGTATAAGACATTTTGGGGACTTGACTTTTTCGGGTCTCAAGAATTTATACGAAAATACACTATTGCAATATTTTGAGGACTTGAATTTCCGTATGTGTATAAGACATTCTGGGCACTTGACTTTTTCGGGACTCGGGAATTTAGTACTTTTCGAGGACCTGTGCAAATTTTTCCATTCCAAATGCAGCGCGTTATCGATCTTCACCCTTGTGTGGGCCTCCCATTCACTGACGGAATGTCTCGTGGCGTATGACGACCGGATATAAATAGTCACTTTACACTCACTTATCTCGTTACTTTTTTCAGCATATTCGTTGACCCGTCTGCAGGTCTTATGTTGACGGGCTGTCAGAGTGTCTGTTGTAATAACTGGAATTCCTTATGTATGTTTGCTGCTGATTACGGTGAAGTATTGTTAGAAATTCCACCTAATCTTTAAAGTTACCCATTAAATTCATAGAAATAATAATATTTAACTGTTTGACGAGTATCCCTATTGTATTCAAAATACTAAACGGCCCAACCCAATATTTAATACAAGCCAAAGATGTCTTATAGATTCCGAGTAAATTATTATAAACTATCAAATGGAGCATGTAAAGTGCATTATAAATAATCAACAAACCCTAACATAATTGACTATTGATTCAGTTACTGATTCGGGAATTACAATTGCTGATGATAACTGAATGCTCTGACCTGAAGCAGTGTTCTTCTTTACTTCTTTACCTATAAAACACATGGGATACAGCCTTTCTTCACTGATCACGTAATGCGTGATTTTCTATAAAGTCTTGGAAAAATAAAAGGAAAATAGATAGAATACAGGTGTACTGTATTTGGTTTACACACAAATATTCATCAAACTGTGTGATAGTTTGTTATAGCAATGAACAATTTGAGAGTATCGTATTGTTTGAGTCGATGGAAAATCTCTGTTGATCCTGTTTCACAAGCAAACCAAAAAGATACAGTAGTCACCACTCTATGCGACATATTCTAACCAGAAAATTGTAATCGTATGATTCTATAAGCATTGGTAGGATTGCAAAGTACTACACAAACATTATTTCAAGGGTAATAACAGTCACAATTTCCGCTGACTTTAAAAGAGTCAACTAAACTATTATACTAATGGACACACAACTAAATGGAACAACTAATGGAAATTCTCACGATGTACATTCGTTCAATATAAGCATTGAGTATACACGTCAGTACATACGTGTATACCCAATGATATAAGCAACGGTTCCTGCAATTTATTGCTTATTGTTTTTTAGAGTTGTTTTCGGACTTACTCTGTTTCCGGACTTACTCACACTCGTATAAGGTTTTCCACGTTTGTCATTGATAATGTAGCCATGTTGCTTTGAAATGGCGACCATACAAATGTATGCATTTTAAGCCAAGTATGAATGGAGTTGAGTGTGGGATGAGTGGAGCGATCTCGTTGTCCTGTTTGTGACTAAGGCCGACATAATCCTTAGACACAGCTGTTAATTAATAGTGCATACAGTCAATTAATAGCAGCAGAGGTCAATTTTGGTATCAAATTAAAGGTTTTATTCATAAAAATACATTGCCGCAAACACAAACTCAAACGATGATGATGATAATAACGTTAATGATGTCGCTAAAACGTATCGTTTGAAATTTAACAGCTGAAAATAAGTGAAATAGAAAAGGTTTTGGTTAAATCCATGAAATTGTAATTGGACACTAGTAAATACTAGTACACTTGTTGCTACCTCCCCCCTTCGGTTTCATCTATTCCTCTCAATCAGTTCAAACCTAGGAGGATTAAACATTAATGTTACCTAATTAATGTTAAATCCTCCTAGATTCAAACCTGAAACACCCAGATCGAAACTCGCCTGTCGTTATTTTACCATCGCATTTTTTTAAATATATTTTTCAAAAAAGAAAGATTATATTGATTTACTTTGGATTTTGAAAATGTTAACGTTTTATTTTGTTAAAGATTTATGGTGATACGTAAATATTGTGGTGTAGTAAAGTATATTATATTGTAGTTAAGTGTTAAATTTTGAAATTTTAGGGTGAATTGAGATGAATCATTTTTTATAACATGGGTCTCTCCTCCCTTAACATACATACCAAGTTTCATAAACATCGGTTGGAAAAGTGCAAAGATAAATATTTGTATGTAAAAAATACAAAATGGTGGATATCTGGTTAACGAAACTATTTCGTAAAAAATGTTATCCTTGATTTTCTGTTTATTTTGACCCAAGGAATTATTAGGTAAAGTATCTCCCCGCTTATTTTTAACACCCTGTTTATGATGTATAAGTG